AACAATAATAAAAAAAGAATTGTTCAGCGTATGGATGAACACTATTTGCTGGGAAGGAATCAACATGGTTTTGTCAGAGGGAAATCATGCATCACCAACCTACTAGAGTTTTCTGAGGGTATCAATAGCAGGTGGATCAGGGTGATCCAGTTAACACAGTATATCTAGACTTCTAAAACTCCTTTAACAAGGTCATCTCTATCAGAGGCTCTTAGCAAAGTTAGGTTGTCATGGAATTATAAGTAAGGTCCATTTGTGGATTAGAAATTGGTTTAAATATAGAAATAAAAGCATGAGTATAAATGGTGAGTTTTCAGAATGGAAAGAAGTAAACAGTGGGATCCCCCAGGGATTTGTGTGGGCATCGCTGCTGTTTAACATATTCATAAATGATCTGGAAAAGGGGGCGAGTAGCAAGATGGCCAAATTTGCAGATGACACAAAATTATTCAAAGTGGTAGAGACCAAGGAGGACTGCAAGGAACTACAGAAGGATCTGACACTATTGAGCGAATGGGAAGCCTAATGGTGGATGAAATTCAATGTAGATAAATGTAAAGTGACGCACATGGACACAAATAACCCGAACTATACGTAAACTATGATAGGCTCTCCATTAGCTGTTACCACATAGGAAAGAGATCTCAGAGTCATTGTTCACTAAAAACATCAACTCAGTGCTCAGCCACCATCAAAAAGACAAATACATTATGAATTGTTAGGAAGGGAATTGTAAACAAAGAGGAAAATATCATTATGCCCCTTTATAATTTATAAATTCTTGGTGCATCCACACCTTGAATACTGTGCCCAGTTTCGGTCCCCACACCTCAGAAAGGATGTAAAAGAACCAGAAAAGGTACAGGGAAAAGCAATACGGATTAGTAGTGTGGAGGCGCTTTCATATGAGAAGAGAATAAAGAGGCTAGGCCTATTCAGTTTAGAAAAGAGACGCTTGACATCATTTGAGAAGCTAGGATGAGCTGGAGAGTTTGCTCTCATGGGTAATAGGGAGGGAATCATGAGTAGCTGGGATGAGGTGGAGGTTCAGTCTTAGGGTGTCAACTGGGGTGTCTGGTGTTGTTTCTTATCTTGTGGGTTGTTAGTATGTTATTGTAAGACACTGGATATGGCAGAATATAAATCTAAATAATCAAAATAATTTGTGGGGCGTTTAGAATGTTTGGCAAATATGTGAAAGTCATTTTTTTATAAATTAAAAAAATAAAATTAATTCATGCCATACTTCCAGTTTTGTTCCAACTCTTTGTCATGGTGACAAGATGATGAAGTGGAGAATTATTGCTAGCTTAATCATCCCTTAATTAATCTCAAAATATCTAAAGGAAGATAAGGCCAGGTATGCTTAGGCCCCACACTGGAAAGTAAGGCGATCCCAAATAATGCAACCCCATGGATTATTTTTCCTCCAAAAATAATACTTTTGCTCTTTGCTCTTCAGGAGCTACCAGAAGAATTCCAAGGCAGTTCCTAGAAGTTCTCATAACAAATATGTGATTTATATAGCATAAAATAAGATATAAAAAATAAATGAATTGTTTGACTGTCCTGGTAGACTTGTGTGAATGGCCAACACCTGTAGTCTGCAGGGAAATATGATTGACATCACAGCTCTGAAATTAGAGTACCTCCTGACTACATGAATGTACCTGAGATGGGAATTTGGCCTATAATGTAGAATGATTTGCTGAGGTATACTCTGTGAAAGAAAAAACCTAAGCAAGATGGAAATTCTGTAAGGATATGTTCTGCCTGCCAGCTGGTACTAAGCATAGTTTCATAGTTGGTAGGGTCGGAAGGGACCTGAGCAGATCATCAAATCCGCCCCCCTGCCATGGCAGGAAAGAGTACTGGGGTCAAACGATCCCGGCAAGGTGTTCATCCAGCCTCCTCTTAAAGACCCCCAGTGTAGGAGCCGGCACCACTTCTCTTGGAAGTTGGTTCCAGATCCTAGCTCCCCTGACAGTGAAGTAGCCCCTCCTGATGTCTAGCCTGAATCTACCCTCTGCCACCTTGTGACTGTTATTTCTTGTCACTCCTGGTAGTGCTCGGGGGAACAGGGACTCCCCCAGTGCCTGCTGGTCCCTCCTGACTAGTTTGGAAATGGCCAGTAGATCCCACCTCAGCCTTCTCTTGTGGAGGCTGAACAGGTTCAGGTCCCTTAGCCTCTCCTCATAGGGCCTGCCCTGCTGCCCCCTGATCATGCGAGTGGCCCTCCTCTGGACCCTCTCCATGTTGTCCACATCCCTCCTGAAGTGCGGTGCCCAGAACTGGATGCAGTACTCCAACTGCGGCCTGACCAGTGTCACATAGAGGGGGAGGATCACCTCCTTGGACCTGCTTGAGATGCATCTGTGGATGCATGACAAGGTATGTTTGGCCTTCCTGACTGCGTCCCCACATTGTTGGCCCATGTTCATTTTGGCATCAATAATGACTCCAAGATCCTCCTCTGCCTCTGCACTGACAAGAAGGGAGTTCACTAGCCTGTAGGTATGCTGCTGGTTCTTCCTCCCCGGGTGCAGTACCTTGCACTTGTTAGTGTTGAAACCCATCCTGTTCTCATCTGCCCACCCCTGTAACCTATCTAGGTCCAATTGCAGCTTATTCCACCCTTCTAGCATGCCCACATCCCCCCACATCTTAGCGTCGTCAGCAAATTTGAACAGGGTGCTTTTTACCCCCTCGTCCAAGTCACTGATGAAGATATTGAACAGCATGGGTCCGAGCCCTGCGGAACCCCACTGCCCACATCCCTCCAGGTCGAAAATGACCCATCCACCACCACTCTCTGGGTGTGGGCCTCCAGCCAGTTAGTGACCCAATTGAATGTGTAGGTGTCGACGCCACAGTCCCCTAGTTTTTTAATGAGAATGGGGTGAGAGATAGTGTCGAAGGCCTTCCTAAAGTCCAGAAATACTACGTCCACTGCTACACCTGTGTCTAAGGATTTTGTGACCTGGTCATAGAAGGCCACCAGGTTGGTCTGACAGGACCTGCCTCTAATGAACCCATGTTGGTTGCTCCTAAACATAATCTCCCCTGCGGGCCCCTCGTGGACATGTGCCAGGATAATTCTCTCAAAAACCTTACCCAGGATCGAGGTAAGAGAGCAGAGAGCAAACCTAACCAACTAATCAGCCAGAGAGCAAACCTAACCAACTAAAACAGTAGATGCCACCACCTAGTGGCTAACTTCACCTCTCTGTGCATGCCTTCTGTACTCTGAGACCAAAGATTAGTGAGCCCAGACACTCTGCTTCCTCACCCTCTATCCCAGGTAGTCACGTGTCAGTTCACCTTCCCACACAAGTTATAGGTTAAGGTACTAGCTGGTGCAATTGCCCTTCGGTTGGGAGAGGCAGAATGTTGCATGCCATGGCACAATCCCTCATATCCCTAGTGCACCCTCTATACAGGTTTCCCTCGCTTTATGCTGTACATGCATTCCTGGAAAATGGCACATAGCTCAAATTTGCATAAAGGGATCCCACTTTACAATGTAACAAATAGGGATATGTTCCAAGACCTCAACTGTACTGACCCCCAGACCCATTTCTATCACTTTTACAAGACAGTTTGGGTACTCACCAATGACAGACAGTACACACAAGCACAGGGCACTATCATAATGGGGATGGCAACTACAGAAACACGTGTCACAGACAACAAGTGAGGAGCACAGATCCACACAGGAGACTATATTTTGGTGCACATCCCTCCCACAATGCACCACACAAAGCAGCTGACTGTGGGCTTCCCCCACACTGATTGCATAAGAGTGAATTTACCTCACATATAATGAATTTTTGGTATAAAATGGGTCATCACATAAGAGCAAATTTGCACATATAGAACCCTCATAACACAAGGGAAACCTGTCTAAGATTTTTAGAAGAGGGTGCTGAAATGCCAGAGGTTGGTTATCTGGGGGCTTCATGCCACAGCGGAATCTACAGACAGCCTGTTAAGATAGTTTTGTGACACAAGGGGGCTGTAGAAGTGACCCTAGACTATAGACAGTAAATTTACTGGTGGATACATAAAGGAGCCTCTATCTGGCTGAGCTTGTCTCGTCTGAAAGGCAATCTTCAGTTATTATGTTACAGGAAAGATATTATCATATTTCATAGTGTAACAAGGTAGTCTGTCCCTTATGAGAAGTGAGGGGGCCAGGGTGCAATCGTGGGTGCTGCTTATGAATAAGACCAAATGCTCCAGTATATAATTGACACACACTAGTTTTAGCTTCTACTTCAAGTCTGTATTTTGGAAGGAATGGCCCTGAAGAAGGCACTGGAGAGTAGTGGAAAAAGAGAAAGCAGAAGAAGCAGGAAGAAGTCTCATTCACACAGAACCCATGCCATCACAATCCCTCACATCTACTCCTTATAAGGAACAGGCACCTTATTACACACAACTTCTAAAACAAACATATACATCAACTGAAGAATATACAACCTCTACCAAAACAGGTCAGAGATTGTAGGCTAGGGACAAAATAGCAATGTGATGTAGAGAATAAGTTGTCAGGGCTGATCACCTCATGCTTTAGGAGATATAAATGTGACTTAAGGTATTATACTAAATGTTGCCATTTCATATATTTAGCGTGTGACTAGTTTGGAAAAACAAACTGTTGAAAATTGCAGTTATTTTCTTAAATATTTTGCGTTCTCTTTAGGTTAAATTTTTAAAGCAGCCTAAGAAATTAGGTGCACAATTCTTTACAATCTGCCTGAAGCTCCTTTGAAAAATCAGTCCGAAGTTTGTAAAAAAAAAAATGCATGTCAAAAGTATAGTGTGATCCTCTAAACATATAAGTGTCAGGTGCTTCACAAAGCACTAATTCCGCTTGTGAATTTTTTTTGGATTTTTAAAAATTCACTCTTCTTTGATGATATTTAGTTTAAGACAACAAGGAATTAGAAATAATTGAGCATAATCAAAGTCAGTGCATTGCCAATATCATTGTGCAGGAGTACAAGATTTCAAACTTTGAGCAGAGACTGATGAATGAAATAGAGTTTCGTCTTGAACGCACCCCAGTGGATGAATCAGATGATGAAATCCAACATGATGAAATCCCTACAGGCAAGTGCATAGCACCAATCTTTGACAAGAGGCTCAAGCATTTCCGGGTCATGGAAGGATCTCCTGTTACATTCACCTGCAAAATTGTTGGAATACCAGTGCCCAAGGTAGGTGATACTTGCAGTTAGATGTAGTTTAACTATATATTCCTGGATATCACCTTTGCAGAGAGACATTTACAAAAATGTGGTTCTGCAAAAATAATTCTCAAATAAGTGGTTTTCCAAAACAGTTAAAATAGTAATGTCTTCCACCATTGCTGAGTACAAGCTAAGCTTAGCTATTCTGCATAGACTCATCAATAGAACCCCTTGAGTCTAAGGAAAACAAAATTTGTAAAAACATAAAGGTCTAATCTGTTTCAAATATGTGGGCTGATTTGGTGACATTCACAAATACACATAACAAAACCAAACCAAGTAATCTATATTTCTGGGAAGTTAACTAACATTTTCCCAGCACTGAAACATTCTATACCGTATCTTAAAAGTTCTACAAATTGTGCATGTGAAATAGGAATTGCTCAAGAAACATGTTACTTTTATCTGCACGTTGCCTATTCACAATTCAACTGCAGAGCAAATTTCAATAGCTGTCTATCTTTGGGCTCACTTCAGGTATATTGGTTCAAGGATGGAAAGCAGATTTCAAAGAAGAATAACCATTTCAAGATGAAAAGAGAAGGAGATGGAACATGTTCTTTACATATTGAAGATACTACAAATGATGACGATGGAAACTATACAATTATGGCTGCCAATCCACAAGTAAGGGAATTTTTCTTTCACACCTATATAGTTGTTTCAAGTTTAGAAAGGCATGTAATTAGGAATTGCCATGTCAGATCAGATCACTGGTACATCTAGTCTAATATTCTGTTTGGAACAACAGCCAAAACCAGATGCTTTGGGGGATGGTGGAAGAAACTATGTACAGGGGAAATACAGAAAAACTGTCCATGTTTTCACTCATCTGATCTCTAAAGTACACAATCACAGTCATTCAGTTGCCCTTTATGTCAAAGCACTTGTGAGATACTAATAATTATTGTAATTCATTCTGACTCTTTTCAGTATAAAAATACTATAGTATACTGCAGGAGTCAAACTCTAATAATTAGGAACTGAACAAATTGTTAGACAAGACTTAATTCTACTTTCATTCAATTTTTCAGGGGAGAATCAGTTGCTCTGGCCACTTGATGGTTCAAACTATTCCTGTACGTGGACGATTATCAACAACTATTCAGTCTCACAGGTAAAATGAAGTATGAAGCTGTAAACATAAATGTACAATTTTTGATTCATCAAAGTTGCCCTTTTGATGTCTTTTTCAGGTTGGGTGATATACCGTTATCTCCTGGTGCTGGTGCATCCAGAGCCAAACTATACAATTTTACCAGGAAGAGTAAAATTTGTTGTAATGACATTCAACTGCTGCTCATCTTACCCATCTTTAATTTTTTTGTGTGTGTAATTGTACAGAGCAAGAGGTTTACATTTGCTAGGCAAAGATTCATTTGGTCTAAATCACAGAAAAGAGAATCAGAGGATGAAAACTACAATATGCCTAATTCTATTCCTGCTTCTATAATAGACTACCCGTGTTATTGTTGGCAAATCAATTAGGCCAAGGTTTTCAAAGTAGCTAATGTTTGGGGGGTTCTAGATATTTGGTACCCAATGGAAATATCTAGTACGAGCTGAGCACCCACCTGAAAAAATGGGTGCATTTCATGGATCGTATCAGTGATCACACCCAAAATCACAAGTCATCTTTTCTGGGGAGGAGGGGGAGGGAAGGAAGGAAGGACTTTTTTGACTTTTAACAACTTTATTTCACAAAAGATCAGGTACAGAAAGCAAAAAACCATCAAACCACACCAAAGAGAAACCATTCCAGGACATTCAGAACATTACACCGTGACAAACACCTTCACAGTAATACACATCATGTCTAACATGCTATATATAGCCCTCGAGAATAGAACAATTCCACCCTTCCCTGTCCCATAGTACACGTACAAAAACCTTCAACTTCTCACCCCGAGAAAATAAACAAAAGCAGCCTGGTGAGGGCCCAGGGCA